GTTGATTTCGCTTTGGCTACTGTAGGTAATTATATTGGTGACAACAACCATGCATGTCACTTCTGCAGGCTGCGTCATACTCTGTGAGATAAAGTGTCACTCTTTTCACAGCTTTTGCCGGCTCTGAGACACTTTCACAGTGTTTCTCCTGCTCTTTTTCTAGCAAAAATTCACTCATCACTAAATGAAAACTTAAAGTGAAGACCTGATTATTTCAGGAGCCTTATCACAAGTCCATTGTTTTTGAATGTTGGTGCTACTTCTGCTATATTTTCACACTTAAAACAATAATTTGGTGTTCTTGTTGTACCATTGTCCTCTTTTATGCTAAGAAATAAGTCACCTGGCAGTTCTCTCCCAAATGGTTCCACTGCTGCCAGCATTGAGTCTGAGTATGATTCAGTGAGCTATATAACACTTTTAATTGTCAGGAAATTACTTGTCTTTAAAAGTTTTGGTTCAATATACTTACCTGTTGATCAAAAATAGCCTTAAACCTATACACTTTTTTTCTTTTTTAAATTTTTTTTTTTAATTTAGTAACTTTCAGGAGGGTGTACTCATTTTTGCAACACAACATTTTATTACTTTGATAAGAAAATCTTATTTTGCCGAATAATTCTGGCATTCTTCTTTGGTAACTGATCAAGCAGGCTTGTTGGAACATTACATATCCAAAGAATCCTAACATGTCTTCTAAGTAAAGAGTAATTGCTGAATTTGTTAAGTTTTAGAGGGGGTGTACTCATTTATGCTGTGCACTGTAGATAGCCAAACATAACCAAATATTTAAAAAATTTAGGAATTTTTGATGGTTTATTAAGTTCATTGGTGAAATACAGGTAGAACCTATATGTGAATGCAAACACTTCTGGATCTCAGCCAGGTCAGGACTCTGACTTAATGAAGCCTGCAGTGCACACAGAAATTATTCTTGGAATAAGCAGAGGTGGATTTAAGGTGTGTTGACATACTTGACGGACAGGGAGAAGTCTCCAGGTGCGCTCTCGCTCTCTCTAATGAGGAAGGCTCCGTCGTGCCTCTGTTTGTTTAGGATCTCCTCCGCTCTGGCCCTGGGGATTCTCCCAAAGAACCACCTGTGAACACAGACCAACATAAACCGTACCATTATATCAGAACTAAGACACGGTATAAGGAAAACTGCAAACAGAAGAGGTGGAAAGAGATCAGGCAGTCATCAGCTGAAGATGATTCTCACTGATTTACACGGAGGTGTGGATGAATAGAAAGAGGAAAGATCTTTTGCAAAGCACTGGTCCTGAGTAGTGGTCGACCGATATATCGGCCGATATTTTGCATTTTTTTAAATATCGGCATCGGCCGATAAGTTTTACTGTTTGGCCGATGCGTTCGAGGTGTTCTTTTATTTTGACGGCGCTGACAGCGACTGCTCACATTCTCCCTCTTGTTCGCCGTTGTCGTTAACAGTTCTGTCTAATACGGATAGAAGTCTGTCTAATAATCAGATAGAATGGTTAAACAAAGGAATTAAAATGTATACAAAAAGTATTAAAACGATTGCTTTTATATTATTAGTAATAGAAAAATAAAATTATATCGGCCACCCTGCTTTCAAAGATATCGGCAATCAAAAAAAACAATATCGGTCGACCACTAGTCCTGAGAGTAGCAGCTTAGGAAAATGAGATGCCAGTTTTCTGTCAATAAACACTGGCAAAGATGAACGCAGACAATCAAAAAAAAAAAAAAAGGCAGCTCAGAGAAAAATCAGCTCAGAAGAACAGCTACATTTAGAAGATCAGGAACACACACAAGTTCAGATGATCAGCACAGAATGCTTCATTACAGCAGGTGTGTGTGAACAAAAACATGCAGATGTGGCTAGATTGTGACAGACATAAAAACGTCTGCCAGTGTCTTCTTTCTTCTAGAAGAAAGCTGGTTGCAAGCCATTTTATAAACCATCCAACAATATATGTCCTTATTGAATGAAATTGAAGTTTGAAGTCAAACTTCACTAGATCTGGTTGTGTTTGTGGATGTGTGCTGTGGTGAACTGGGTTAAGCAAACCTGACAACCAAAGGCCTTTATTTACTGGAGTGACAAGATACAGCTGACAAATCCAAAGTTCAATTACTGTGTGCTATTCAAAATGATAGCAATGTCACCACTGTGCTTACAGACCTAGGAGTAGAGATCCGATCCGATTTCGTAATTACTGCTAATTCAAAAAGTCGGGGAAAAAAATAATTCAGTAGATTAAAAATAATAAATTAAAATATATAAATGTAATGTTAAATGTAAGAACAGTTGTACAAATGATTTACAGTATTTACATTATTGAGATCCAATTTCATATTTACTATCATTCACATTTTAATTAAACAAGATTTAAATATAATAATAGTTTCTGCTTCGGTTTCATTAATGAGATCAGGTGTCATAATTGGAAAAATATATATTTAAATTAAAAATATATAATATAATATAATATAATTATTAATAATAAACTGAAAAAGTCACACGGAACAGACTATAACTCCAAACTTCATATTTTCATTCAAATCAATTTAAATGTGTAATGGACATCTAGTTTAAACAATGATATAATCTGATACTTTTACTCTATACGTACTTAAAACAGTACGTGATGCGAAATTATAATACATTTCTGCTCCCAGAGGGTCTGTTATGTAAGGCCAGGAATAAAACCACAGGCTGTCTCCGCTGTAACCTGCCTTATCTGTCCTGTCCGCTTTGATGTGGACTGCACAAGCCACAGTCACACAAACACAAAGAGCATGTGACCAGGAAGTGGCATTAAAGCACTTGAGGGCAAATTCCACTCGACCACTGTCCGCACGCCGCATCCCGTTCGACAATATGCTTGAACCCGTGGATGGCATTTACATTGCCTGTTCTGATAAGAGGCATCCGCCTGCTCCTACCATAAACCTGGCCAATCTTGTGTACCTGTTGTTTGATGGTAAAAAGCAGATGTTTTCTGGGATGTCAAACAAAGCGAGTGAAAAAAACGTTGATGACTATCAGTTCCAATGATTCAAATGATCAATTTTCAATTAGCCTCCCTTAAGCACACCACAGGAAAAACTAATATAATTAACTCTCCATTATTTAAAACATTACTTATTATTGTAAATAATCGAACTATATTAAAACAATGGAATGTGGCCTTCAAATATTTGCATCTGCAAGTGATTATTCAAGTAAAAAACAAATAGCAAAAATAAATGAAGGTTGGCTATTTTGACTTGGGCCAAGAAACCACCCAGGACACCCTAGTAACCACCTAGCAACCACACAAGACACTAAAGCACTCAGCGTACCTTAGCAACCTTAGCAAGTAATGCCATAGTAATCACCAAAAACATCATAGCAATCATTTAACGCTCTACAAACACTCAGAGTATGTTAGCAACCATATAGTAACACCTTAGCAACCACACAAAACACCCAAGCAACTACATAACATACAACAACACTTAAAAACACAATATGTACGTTTTCGCCGCTAGAGGTCGCATTTTCAAAACAATAACAAAGGTGAAGCTTGATGACGCTATGAAGGAGAGTGGAGCGATGGGAGATGTCGTTTTCACCATCCAGAGATGTATGGAATTCATGAATTCACAGATTCACCGATTTAATAAATTTTTTTTATTACCTGTACCTTCCAAAGTTATTCAAACAGTGAATAAATTCTACAGAGAAAGCAACTGACTTCAGTCTAGCGCGAGTTTAAGCACTCTCAAAAAACTCCCCTTATAATCAGTAAAGCTGTCGTTACACTGTTTGATGAATGAATCTCCTACTTACATTATACGTACACAGGGCCATGAAACTTTTTGCAAAACAGGCAGTTACTACTACTACAATAACTAAACATATTTACAATGTTTTTAATTTCAAAAAAACGGGCTGTTGTTCCCACTAGATTGCATTGTTATAATTCGTAAAAGTTGTACCCGCCAACTGGCGACTGACACTGTTACATGGACTCGCCAACGCTGATTTTTACTCGCATTTGGCGCTTGGCGAGTGTTAATTTTAGGCCCTGTACGTACATCTTCACTTTGTTGTTTATGATGAGAGAATTCACTCAGCGAGCGCGCGCACTGAACAAAACTCTGGCGTTTCAGCGATGACTCATCTGAACGCCTCTGACTGGCCATTTCATTAATAAGCTCAACATACTCGTGTGTGATTGGTTATAATGCGCAACACTGTAAAAACGCGTAAAAAGAATCACGGTGCAACATTGAGCAGATCTAAATTTAATGCTGCAGTCAACACTTTTCATTTCATTTATCATTTTATTCGCAACAGCCGTAATGGATTTAGTTTAACTGTACAGCAGCCTTTTTGTCCATGTGTGTTGCCATAGCGCGGATATTATGTCATTGATGGCCGACAATGAACCGGGACGAGCCATTATTTAAAAATGGAATTTCTCTGGATTTACAAACCCTTGGGAACTTTTGGGATAACGTAAGAACACAACTGCATGAAATATATCACACTGTGCAAGTGGTTTTTGGATATTTTATTACAAAAATCGTACATATTGTGCCTTTAAGCAACACTTATTTTGATTTTAGAAAAGGGACTTTGAATGGTGGACCATGTTCCCGAGCTTCATTGTGTGTCATTACATGGGTTTCAATTCTCTCTCAAGCAAATATTAGTCAATTATTAATTCATTCATTTGTCCTTCCGCCTTTGCTACTGTACACAGGACAATAATGAAACTTGCTCGCACTAAGACCAATGAGGAAGAGAGAGGGAGGAACAAATCAAACCAACTACACGTACAAACACTTTTAGCTCAAACAAGCTGTCTGGTATTGAAAGGGCAACAAAGCGTTCCCACGAAAATGATCAGGAAGTTAAAATTGATAAAAAAATAAGAGATTCTGTAAAATGCACAAGGAGGGATTAGGAAAAGTAAACAGACCTGAGAACCTGAGACCAGAAGTAATCATTGAAATGTTCAGATTAGAGCTCACACGACAGCCTCAAGGCAGACAGAGTAGAAAGTACACTTGGTCTGCTGTGAAAGCAAATATATTATCAACCATATTGCACAAATTTTAATTGGTTTTTACTTGTATTTTTTTTTTTTTTTATATACTACCATTCAAAAGTTTGGGCACTGTAAGATTTTTCTTTTATTATTATTAATATTTTTATTCAGCAAAGATGCATTAAGTTGTGAAGTCACAATAAAGACATTTTTTATGTTATAAAAGATTTATATTCCAAATAAATGCTGTTCTTTAGAACTTTATTTTCTTTAAAGAATCCTGAAAAAAGTATCACCGTT